ACAGACAGACAGACAGACAGACAGACAGACAGACAGACAGACAGACAGACAGACAGACAGACAGACAGACAGACAGACAGACAGACAGACAGACAGACAGACAGACAGACAGACAGACAGACAGACAGACAGACAGACAGACAGACAGACAGACAGACAGACAGACAGACAGACAGACAGACAGAGGGAGAAGGCAGATAGAGAGAGTGAGACACACACATACAGCGACAGGCAGACAGGGAGAGGGAGACACACACACACACACAGGGAGAAGGCAGACAGAGAGTGAGACACACACACACACAGAGGGAGAAGGCAGACAGAGACACACACAGACACAGAAAAAGAGAGACGAAGAGAAATACAGTCACCAGGAGGTTTAATGCACAGCGTGTAGTGACTGTGTGCTTTGCGGTGGTCGGGTGGAGTTTGGCTGCGTGGGGCACAGTTTGTGTGGGGGGGGGGGGCAATGTGGACGAACCACTGGACGGTTTCTGGCGGGTGTGTGTGTGTGTGTGGTGGGGGGAGGAGGTAAATACAGACCCACCTCTCGTTCCGCACTCACCTTTTTTGGTCTCGTTGACTTCCAAAGGTTTCAGGCCGAGTTTGGCTCGGAGTTTGCTGCGGGGGGGGGGGGGGAGGGGGGGGTTTGGGGGGGAAGGGGGTGGGGGAGAGAGAGAGAGAGAGAGAGAGAGAGAGACGGACGGAGCCCAGAGTTAGGAGGCTTTTATTGGTGGAAAATAGGAATAATCCTCATTCATCACGGCTTCGAGACGTCTGGGGCACACCGTAGTGACTGTGCGTTTGGGTTTCCCCCAGCAAACAGCTTCCCCACCAACCCCTCCAGACCCTCCCCGCGCCCCCCCCAAATAATTCTCTCGCCCGTTTAACCCCCCCCCCACCCCCCCAAACCGTGAAGACTTATTCACTCACTTGGTTTCTTCTACGCTGAGGGAAGCATCGCCCCCTGCGGACTTCGGCCCCGTGGGACCTTTAGGATGGAGAGAAGAGGGGTGGGGGGGGGGTGGGGGTGGGGGGGAGAAAAAGAGATATAAATACACGGACATCAGATCAACCGCAACAGCGCGGGACATTCGCACGGCGTTCGCTCAACAGAGAGACTGGGGTTTGGACCCCAGTTGCGGGGTTGGGATCAGGAGGGGCTGTGGGGGAGGGGGTGGGGGTGGGAGAGGGGGGTGGGAGGTAGGGAGGGTGGAGGGTAGAAGAGGGTCTGACCTCAAGGCTCTGTTTCTTGCGATAATAATAATAATAATAATAACAATAACAGTCCCGGCGTTTGATCAACGCTGTCGAGACGTCTCAAAGCGCTTCACGGGACACGCCGTCGAGCGTAGTGACTGTGCGCGGGTGTTTCGCGGGCGGAAACCCGGGCAGCCGACCGCGGCCGGCGACGGCCCCACAAACAGCCGGTGGTGGGGGGGGGGGTTTGGGGTTGGGAGGGGTTGAAGTGACCAAAAACTACTACTACTACTACTACTGATAATAATAATGGGATCACTTAGTTCCGCGGCTGTTTGTGGGGACGTGTAGTGTAGTGACTGTGCGCGTCTCCGCCCGCAAAACACCCGCGCACAGTCACTACGCTCGATGCCGTGTCCCGCGAAGGGCTTTGAGACGTCCCGACGACGCAATCGGGCGCCGGGTCACACCCCCCCCCACCCCCCGGGACCGTTATTATCATCGTCGTCGTCGTTAGTCATCGTTATTATGAATTATTATTATTGATTATTATTAATAGTGTTTAGTCTCCATTGTTATTATTGATTATTACCGATTATCGTTGATAACGGTATCGATTACTGTTAACATCATTGATTATTATGGATTGTTATTGTTAATAGTATCGATTATCATTAACATTATTGTTAATGGTATCGATTATTTATTAACATTATTGTGAATAGTATCGATTATTATTAACATTATTGTTAATAGTATCGATTATCATTAACATTATTGTTAATGGTATCGATTATTTATTAACATTATTGTTAATAGTATCGATTATCATTAACATTATTGTTAATGGTATCGATTATCATTAACATTATTGTTAATGGTATCGATTATTTATTAACATTATTGTTAATAGTATCGATTATCATTAACATTATTGTTAATGGTATCGATTATTTATTAACATTATTGTGAATAGTATCGATTATCATTAACATTATTGTTAATGGTATCGATTATTATTAACATTATTGTCAATAGTATTGGTTATCATTCCAGTGATCGATCATTAATCGATTAAGTATCGACTGTCGGCGTTGACGCGATCGACCGAGACAACGCTCTCCGGTTGTTATTGATCGCACTCTCTCAACAGTCGACATATATTGATCACCGATTACCAATGAGGTGTTGGGTTGGTGCGGCGCCCGCCCGCGCGGCTCGGTTTTCCCGCCCGCCCGCCCGCGCGGGTGGAGGGGCCGGTGCGACGTCAACCGCCCGCGCGCGCATGCGCGTGAGCGCGTCGCGCCCGCCCGCCCGCCTGCGCGCGCAGTGGGCGTCCATTTTTTTTTCTCACGCCCGCCCGCCCCGTTAAACCGTTCGCACGAGATTGTTTTGCGTCCCCGCACCGCCTCGCACCGCACCGCACCTTCCTCGTCCGGCCTCTCGCGCTTGAGCCTCCGCTCGGACTCGGGCCTGCGCTCTCGCTCCCGGTCCCGCTCCCGCTCCAACGGCCGCCGCCGCTGCGGCTGCTGCTGCTGCTGCTGCTGCTGGTCCCCCCGCTCCCGGGAGCGGCTCCGGCTCCTCCGCTTCCGCCGGTCGCCCCGCTCCTTGTGCTTGTGTTTCTTGTGCCGGGCCACGGCCCCACCGCCGCCGCCACCACCGCCGCCGCCATCGTCCACGGCCCGTTCCCGCTCCTTGTGCTTCTTGGAGGATCCCATCAAAACAACATGGCGGCCGCCAAGACAGTTCACTTCCGGTTGTCGCCCACTTCCGTCCGACCGCCCCACTTCCGCTGCCTCTTAAAGCGAGCTTGTCCCCCCCCCTTTCGCGTCCACGACCCAATATTGCTCCTCCTGAGATTTGCGCCACACGAGTTCTCACAGTCACCTCTATTGTTATGGCAAATGGTATCGGAATGATATTAATAATAATAAAAAAAATAATAATATAATAATATAAATAATGGTTGTCATGATTTATACAATTGCAACAATGACACAATTGTCACAAAATAATAATAATGATATAATAGTGATCATTTAATAATAATATAATAGTAATGATCATTTATTAATAATATAATACTAATGATCATTTAATAATAATATCATAGTAATCATTTAATAATAATATAGTAATGATCATTTATTAATAATATAGTAATATAGAATAATGATTTAATAGTAATAATCATTTAATAATGATATAATAGTAATACTTATAGTATAGTAATAGTAATACGTATAATAATGATATAATAGTAATAACCATGTAATAATAAAGATATATAGTAATAATACATAATTATAATAATCAATGAATAATTATACAATTATAATGATAACATAACAATTGTGATACTTCTATAATAGTAATAATACACAATAATTACTATAATTCAAATAGCAAATAGAACGATAACGAATGTATTATTTTTATTATTGTTAGATTAAATCAAAAAAATTGTGTGTTACTTAAAAAGTCACAGTGTATAGTACATAACGTGTAATCATAGTAATCCTCGCCTTCGATTACAGAGCCTTGTCACGTCTTCGAGACATCTCAAAGCGCTTCACAGGAAGTGTAGTGACTGTGTATTTTGTGGGCGAAACGCGGCAGCCAATTGCGCACAGCGACCACCCAAAAACAGCCGTGGGTTGAGTGACCACATTATTATTTTTTGAAGGGATTATTCTCTCTTCGACCGTGCCTTCAGCTCCCCTCTCGACTCTCTACCCCCTCCTCGCTCCCTCCCTTCCCTTCCCTCCCCTCACCCTGACCATTTCCCCCCCCAATGCTCGGGTCCCGACCCAACTGTCCAGCGCCTCGGGACGTCCTCCCGACGTGAACCCGGGTCCTCTGGTTTTGCGAGGATCGGACTCTGACTGCAGTTGGAACTTCAGAACAAATAAGTTGTCAAATCTCGAGAATGGAATTTTTTATTGCAGAGAAATTCTCATCGATCAAGAAAGAACTTTCGATGGAGAAGCTGCAGAGAAACTATTTGCTCTGGTGGGTGGAGGTGGAAAAATCAGAACAAAGGGGTGGTGGGGGGGGGTGGGGGGCATCATCTGAAAATCAGAGCCAGGAGTGAAATCGGGGGCAGAAATCCCCCCAAAGGGGAATCTGGAACTCTCTCCCTCCCCCAAAAGGCTGTGGATTATGACTGGATCCCTTCACGTTGTCCAGACTGAGGTGGACCAGTCAAGGGTATCAAGGGATATGGGGCAAAGGCGGGTAATTGGAGTTGAGGTACAGATCAGCCAACTAGTAGAGTGATGGAACAGGCTCGAGGGGCTGAATGGCCTCATCCTATTCTCGTGTTCCTTTGTGCCTAGAGAGAGAGAGAGAAAGAAACTGAGTTAGAGAGGGAGAGGGAGTGAGTGAGTGAGAGCCTGAGAAAGAGAGGCAGAAAGTTGAGGTACAGATCAACTGAGATCTAGTAGAATGGCGGAACAGGCTCAAGGGGTTGAATGGCCTCCTCCTGTTCCTAGAGAGAGAGAGTGAGTGAGAGAGAGAGAGAGAGAGAGAGACTGAGAGAAAGAGAGAGAGACCGAGAGTGAGTGAGGGAGGGAGCGAGAGAATGAGTGAGCGAGTGAATGAGAGAGTGAGAGAAAGAGTGACTGAGAGAGTGAGTGAGAGCCACACAGAGAGAGAGTCGGGGTACAGATCAGCCATGATCTTAACAGAACAGCCGGAACAGGCTCGAGGTGGGCGGGGGGGGGGGGCGGTGGGGGTTGAGGGGGGGGGGGCTGATTGGCCTCCTCCTGCTCCTGTGATCCCCCACCTTCGGCGGGGGGCAGGTACGGTTGTGTTGACGGATGGAGATCCAGAGGCGGATCATCTCGTGGGGGGTGCGTCTGTGAACCACAAGCAGCTGCCGGTAAGTGCACACGTCCCACTTGTTGCGCTCGGCAATCCCGAAACTCCGGAAGCCCTCGTGCCTTTGGGGGGCGACCCCCAGGCGGGAGAGGCACATCCCCACGTAGACGTCGTCGATGGGGAAGAGGGGGACCTGAGCCGAGACCCAGAGGAGCCTCCTCGCCAGGTCCGCGGAGAACAGAACCCCGGCACCCCCGGCGTAAGGCGGGTAGCTCCCGGCGTAGAACGCCCGAGGGATGTAGTACTTCTGCCGGAGGTCACGGGAGGGCAGGGCGTCCAAGATGGTGTCCCCGACGAACAGGTTCCTCCTCTGCCTCCGGCCCAAGCCCAGCACGTAGTCGAGCATCCGGTCGGTGTTGACGAAGACGTCGTCGTCCCCCTTGAAGATGTAGCGAGGGCCGGGGCAGCGCTCCGCCAGCCAGCGCTGGAACAGTATCTCCTTGAGGGTCAGGTTGAAGAACGTGTCTCGGAAGCCCCACTGCAACAGGTCCCCGAACTCCCTTTGCTCCACCGCCAGGAGCCGAGACAAGTCGGGGTAGTGGTCGGCCTTGCCTTGCTCCCCCAGGAGAAACACCCGCCCCAACGTCACGTCCCCCGTTTTTCGCAGCCCCCCCCAGGACTGGCGGATGGCCTGGCGGTTCTCGAAGTGCGGGGGCCGGGACTTGATGACCAGGAGGAGGGAGGGACGGTGCCGGCAAGATTCGGAGGGTTCCATGAGGACCGGGAAAGCCCGGCACCTCCGGTAAAGCAGGAAGTCCCTCATCTGCTGCGGGAACGAGCAGAAGCCGACCACGTTTTGGGCCACGGACGGATCTCCCCGGCAGCTGCTCGCTCGCTCCCCGGTTCCCTCCGGCCTCCTCTCCCCCTCCCGCTCCATTTGCCGCTGCTCCACGTTCCAGAAGGCGTTAGCCTGGCACTCGTCCCCCAGCGACTCTGTCCGGTGCCAACCCCAACGGATCACCAACAGCAACAAGATGCCCCCTAAGAGCACACAAGTCTTTCGCAATCCACATGACAGCTTCATGTCTGTCCCCTAGGGGAGGGGAAGAAGGGGGGGAGAAGGAAAGGGGAACAAGAGATATAATAACCCTTGCGTTCGTCTCGGTCGCACCCGTTTCGCCCGCAAAACGTACAGTCACTACCCTTCGCAGCGTAGTCCCGTGAGGCGCTTTGAGAGGCCTCGCGGCATCCGACCAGGCGCTGGGTTCGAACGCGAGGACTACCAGCGCTGCTTATCACGTCGTTGGCGGCGGAGGGGGTGGTGGCTGGGGGGGGGGGGGCGGCGGGTTAACGCTGTGTAGTGACTGTGTGTTTTGCGGGGCAGGAACGCGGCGGCCGATTGCGCCCGGCGACGTCCCCGCGAACAGCCCCACGAAACGGCCAGGATCCTGAGAGAGAGAGAGAGAGGGGTGGAGGGAGGGGGAGAAAGAGAGAGAGAGAGAGAGAGAGCGGTGGGGGGAAGAGAGAGAGAGAAAAACTCCCTTCTTTCCCCCCCACACCCACCCACCCCCCCCCGACAGCGCCACGAGAAATCCTGGGGGAGTGTGGACGGTTTAATGTCCCATCCGAAGGACGGAGTCTCCGACAACGAGTCAGTCGCTTTTTCTCTCTCTCTCTCTCACTCTCTTTCTCACTCTCACTCTCTCCTGCCCCCCCCCCCACCCCCCAGCGCTGCGCCGGAGAGTGAGCCGAGACCCCGCGCGCCCGGAGTCAGTCGACGCCGTCTCCCCGCTCTTCACCTTCGACGACGCACAAAATCCCTCCTCTTTCGACGCATTCAGGGGGTCAAGTTCGGTGGGACCATAACTAACTGCCCCCTTTCACCGCTCGCGGGAACGTCATCACTCCTGGTGTCCCGGTGGAGGAACTGCACACGAGCCCCAATCCCACCCCTTAATAAAATTATTAATAATAATAATAATAATCCTGGCGTTTGTACCCCCAGCGCTTCACGGGACCGCTCTTATCGAGCGTGGCGGCCGTTGCGTGCTGGGCGGGCACAGTCTCCCCCCCACCCCCGTTCCCCGCGCGCGCACGCGAACAGTCGTGGACTGAAGTGACTGAATTTACTGTTATCATTCTAATTGATCATAGAATCGCAGAAAATCTTACAGCACAGGAGGAGGCCATTCGGCTCATCAAACCCATGCCAGACCTTTGATAGAGCTACCGACCAGTCCCCACTCCCCCCACTCTTACCCCATAATCCTCGCAAATTTCCCCCTAATGCTTGCAAGTATGCCCATATCCCACAAAACACAGTTACTACACTTCACAGTGTATCCCTCGAAGCGCTTTTGAGACGTCTCGAAGACCTGATAGGGCGCTGGTTCAAATGCAAGGATTATTCTTATCGGCATCTTCAAAAATGTGCCCCCATCCCCTTGCAAAAGGATATAAACACATATATATATGTGTGTGTATGTGTGTGTGTGTTTAGCTAAAAATAAGAGTAATCGAAACATTTTGGGGGGTCAATTAGGCCGACAGGAATGGGAAACCGGGGCGCCTTTAAGAGCAGTGCACCTTTAAAGGGGCGGAGCCTGAAATGGACACAATGGGAACGGGGGATCCCGGCGGTTGCCTGGCGACGGGAGGACGCCGCGCATGCGCACCAGACGGCGCCCCGCCCCCCCCCATCACCACCACCACCTCTCTTCCCACTCCGCTGACCATGTGGTCGCCCCACAGACGGTCTGTGTTCAGGAACCAATGCGTGATGGCCTACACGCGGCCCGCGGGCCGCCTTCCAACTCGCCCACAGGCCGCCCCGCACCAGGACATGATGTCCTACCTCCAGTCTCTCTTTGCGGCGGGGATCGAGGTCGGCCGATGCCCCCATTATTCTGATAACCCTTAAGAGCGGTCCTTGGATGACCCTGTAGCTCAGGGGGTTAGACCCCTCCCCTCGCACCCCACCCCACAGCCCCTGTAGCTCAGGGGGTTAGACCCCTCCCCTCGCCCCCCACCCACCAGCCCCTGTAGCTCAGGGGGTTAGACCCCTCCTCGCCCCCCACCCCACAGCCCCTGTAGCTCAGGGGGTTAGACCCCTCCCCCTCGCACCCCCACAGCCCCTGTAGCTCAGGGGGTTAGACCCCTCCCCTCGCACCCCACAGCCCCTGTAGCTCAGGGGGTTAGACCCCTCCCCTCGCACCCCACAGCCCCTGTAGCTCAGGGAGCCACAGCCCCTGTAGCTCAGGGGGTTAGACCCCTCGCCCCCCACCCCACAGCCCCTGTAGCTCAGGGGTTAGACCCCTCGCCCCCCACCCCACAGCCCCTGTAGCTCAGGGGGTTAGACCCCTCCCCTCGCACCCCACAGCCCCTGTAGCTCAGGGGTTAGACCCCTCGCCTCGCACCCCACAGTTCCTGTAGCTCAGGGGTTAGACCCCTCACCTCGCGAGCCAGAGGGACCCGGGTTCGATTCCCGGGTGGGTCAGGTTAGGCCGAAACCTTGGGCAATTTTCCTTACCCCCCACACCCCCACAGACATAGACACATACACACACACACTCCTCTGTTCACCAGCAGTAAGTAGGAACCCGCTTAAATTAGTGGATTGGCGGATCACTTTCCAGGGGTAATAATCCCTCCTCCCCCCCCCACCCCCCCAAAAAAACCATAATAAAATGGTCGCTCAATCCGCGACTACACTTTACAGTGTATCCTGTGAAGCGCTTTGAGACGTCTCGAAGACGTGACGAGGCGCCGGGTCAGATGGGAGGACTGTTGTTATCGCGCGCGGCGCCTTGCCACGTCGCCGAGACGTCTCAAAGCGCTTCGCAGGATGCGCCGGGAAGCGTAGCGACTGTGTGCCTCGCGTGGGCCGAAGCGCGGCAGCCAATTGCGCCCAGCGACGTCCCCCCCTACAAATAGGGGTGGGTTGAAGGGACCAAATGATTAGGATTTTTGAAATCCCCCCCCCCCACAAACTCGGGTGCAAATCCCCGACTGTCCAGCGCCTTGGGATGTCCTCCCGAAGGGAAAGGCTCCGTGTAAATGTCGTGCGTTGTTGTTGTTGTTGTTGTTAGTCTCCAGGTGAGGAAGACGAGGAGAAGAAGTGTAGCCATGTGGAGCCTATGTCCGAATCCCCAATCAGAGACACTCTTCCTGCAGAGGCTACGGCAGACGTGGAGAGCTCCCGCCTGAAGTACGTAACAACAACAACAACAACAACAGCGCCCCTCGAGCAGGGTAGCGCTTGACAGTGGCTGAGCACGACACCAAGCTGGGGGTGTGGGGGGGGGGGGAGGAGGGCCGAGGCGTAGAGGGAGCTTTACTGTGTCTCTAACCCTGACCCCGGGGAAGTGTGGACGGACGGACGAACAGTGTAGAGAGCGCTTTACTCTCGTTTGTGGGACGTCCGCAAACCACACAGTCACTCCGCTTTGCACCGCGTCCCGTGAAGCGCTTTGAGACGTCTCGAAGACGCGATCAGGCGCTGTATCAAATGCAAAGATTATTATTACTGTATCAAAAGCCCTAATAATTTTCAACGAACGGCTCCATTAAATCTCCCCCCCCCACCACCCCGACCTTCTCTCGCTCTAAGGAGAATAATCCCAGGAATTATCTCTCTTTTTTTTTGGAAAGAGCAGAGAAAGAAGCTTGTGAGGTCTACCCTGACTTGAAGATTGAATGCCTGGAGATCGAGGGAGAGGAGACGACGTTAGGAAAAGCGGTGGAGGCTGCCGTAGATGGAAAGAGTTTGGATGGCGCGAGTCAATCTCCTCTGCACTGGATGTGGAAAGGTTTCTCTGTGGATCGCTATGCCCCTCGGGCAGACCCGGGCTCCAAAGACAGAGCGATGGACGGTCAAGGGAAGGATTTCTCCTCCGTCGAGGGCTTTGATAAGGAAGGGGTAGAGGGGACGAGGCCTGAGGATGGGACGGTCAAAGGAGACGGCGAGCAGGAAGCAAAGAGGAAACAGACGGGGAAAGGCTTGAGCCAAGGCCTTGAAACAAGTCCAGGTCGGTCTCCTGTCCCCCGCTTTGCCTCCCTCCCTGCCTCCAGGAAGCGATCGCCAGACAAGGAGACGGTGGGGTCCGTCCCCCCGGGGCAGAGGAAGGAGGGTTGGTGTTTGGAGGAGTTCAGAGCGAAGCACACGGACCCCCAGGCCTTGCCCAAGGCAGATGGCGACCCAGGTTTGAGGCTCGAGGAGCGACGCAAGCATTTAACGGCGCGAGTCGGCGCGGGCAAGACGGGCGAGAAGGAGAGACCGACGCAGGGGAGAGCGAAGAAGGAATCGGACTTCGAGACGCAACCCAGGCGGTTTCTGAAGCAGCTGCGGGGAAAAGAGGGGCCCGAAGCCAGCTCCCAGGAGCCCCCGAGCTCGTACCCTACCGGGGAGGCCACAAAGACAAGCCCCAGGTCCCGATTGAGACCTGCTCCCAGCGTTGGCATCGGGAAGATCACCAAACTGGTGGAGCTGAGGCAAGAGTTTTTGCGGTAAGTCAGGAGACTGCGTCCGGTCAAAAATAATAATTTGGTCACTCAACCCACGACTGTTTCTGGGGCCGCCGCTGTGCGCGATTGTCTGCTGCGTTTCGCCCGCGAAACACGCAGTCACTACGCTTTACAGTACAACCCGGGGGGAGCGCTTTTGAGACGTCTCGGCGAGGTGATTAGACGCTGGGTCAAATGCAAGGATTATTATTACTATTATTATTATTATTATTATTATTATTTGAACTCCTCCACAGGAAAAACCTGGAGGAGACGGAGAGAAAGAAACAGGAGGAGAGAGAGAGAGCGAAGAAGGAGCAGGTGAAGAGGCGAAAGTTGCAGAGGGAGATCGCGGCTCGAATTGCGTTCTCCGAGACGCAGAAAAACAAGAAGAACAGAGCTAAAACCCAGCTGCAGATCTTCAGGTCGGTAACAAGAGACGTCAGGTGAATGCGGTCCCACGGGTGTTTGCCCGCAAAACACACAGTCACTACACTACGACAGCGTGTCCCGTGAAGCGCTTTGAGGCGTCTCGAAGACGTGAGGGCTTCGGCTGCGGGGATTAACAGGAGCTGGGAAGGGGGAGTGGGGGGGAGAGGGGGGGGAGGATTCCCTTCCAGGTCCTGCCCACGAGCCAGGCCGTCAGCAGGGAGTGTGCGCCCTGGAACACTGCGGCCCCTCCTGGAGACCCTCACCGAGGGCCGGTTCGGCTCCGAGGAGACCCCGAAGAGGGTTGGGGCTCTGGACGCGGGGCAGGAACACGTGTGTGCAGAGAGCGTGTTTCTTGTATGTTCCCAGGAAGCGGGACCGCGAGCAGGCGGCGCAGTATCGAGCGGAGCTGAAGGAGATGAAAGCACGCGTCTCCAAATATCCATTCCTCTTCGAGAAAGTAGCCCAGGTGCGAACGCAGACGGGTGGGGGGAAGGGGGGAGGGTGGGGGGGGTGGGAGCCCCTCAATCCAGCCCCGTCTCAAGCTCAGGGGTTAGACCCCCTCGCCTCGCAAGCCGGAGGACCCGGGTTCGATTCCCGGGCGGGTCAGGTCAGGCAAAACCTCAGGCAAGTTTCCTTACTCCTCCCCCCCCCACCCACCCACCCACCCACCCACACACACACACACGTCTGTGTGACCTCCTAACCCCCTACACCCCCACCCCCCCACTTCTTTGCCTCCCGAAAGCCCCACTGTGTCAACGTAATGCGTTGGTTATGTTGTGGTGTGGTCGGCCTCTCGTCTGAATGTCTCTCTTGTGCGTCTGGACCAGAGAGACGCCCAGGTCAACGCCACTCGAATCTTCACCAATCTCCTCAAAGGCTTGAACCTGGACGTAGAGTTGGTGACCAGGTTGGCTCAGTCGGAGCCCGGAGACCCAGGCTCTCAGGTGATCGACCTCGAGTGGGACGCCGGCGACCAGGAGCCGAGGAAGGAAGATCCCGGCGAGGAGCAGAGGCGGAAGGAAGAGATCGCAGAGGAACAGATTGGGATCCAAGCCGCTGGAAGTCGAGACGCTCAACGGTGAGAGTGAGCAAGCGCGCTCCACGGCTGTTTGCGGGGACGTGGCCGGGCGCAATCAGCCGCCGCGTCTGGCCCACGCCACACACAGTCGCTACGCTCGACGGTGCATCCCGTGAGGAGGTTTGAGGCGTCTCGAAGATGCGATAAGGCGCTGGGTCAAACCCCGGGGATGATTATGATCTGGTTAAAGTCTTTTTGTTTTGTTGCTGTCCCACAGGACGGATCTCGGTCTCGTCGGGCCGGCCCTCGAACCGAGAAGCAGCTGGCGTGAGGAAGGCCCTCCGCTGCCTCCTGCCACGTGTGTGTTCGAGTCCGCAAACGACGGCGCGGACACGGTCTGCCGAATCAGCTTCTAATTCACCCGACGCAAGTCTTCCTTTTAACAGTAAAACCTATTTCATTTTTATACGGACGTCGTCGCATGTTAAAAGATTCTGTGGAGCCCTGGAGCTTAGTCGTGCGAGCGAGTGAGAGCACCCGGGCGGGACAGGGCGAAACCTTAGTTTCCTTACTCCCCACACACATACACACACGCACGCACACGCCTGTGTTTACCAGCAGTCAGTAGGAACCCGCTTGTTAGTCGACTGTCGGATGGCTTTCCGGAGGCAATAAGCCCTTCGCGTAGAAAAAAAAATGTGGTCACTCAACCCACGGCTGTTTGTGGGGACGTCGCTGGGCTGCGAACCGGCTGCCGCGTTTCGCCCGCAAAACACACAGTCACTACACTTCGAGACGTCTCGAAGGCGTGATCGAACGCGAGGGTAATCGTGATAAGACTCTGCAGGAACACAGACGGTGGAATCAAACACGTTCAAGTTTATATTTATATATATGTACACAGACACACACTCACAGACACACACCACATGCCTCGCTTGCAGGTTTAACAGGAGCTGAGTTGGGGGGGGCGGCGGGGGGGGGGGGGGATTCCCTGCCCCCGCCATGACTGGTTGGCCCTGGAATCCTGCGGCCTCTCCCGGCTCGGGAACCGGGACTAGAGACCGTCACAGAGGGCTGGCTCCATTCTGACATTCCCGTTGCCAAACATGACAACCGTGGGGTCAGTTCAGCTCTGAGGACATCCCACTTACCCGCGCCCCCCCCCCCATCCCTCCCCCGAGAGAGAGAGAGAGAGAGAGAGAGCGAGGGAGGGAGGAGGGTGGGGGGGAGGTGAGGAGAAAGAGATAAACAGGAAGGATTTTCTTAAAGGATTCAGACGAGGGCAGTAGAGAAAGAAAATTACATCAACAGCTTTTCTGCCTCCATCGCCCCTCCCTTCACACTCTCTCTCTCTCTCTCTCCCAAACACATACTCAGTCACTCACACTCGGAAACTCATGCACACGCGCACACTCCCTTTCTCTCAGACGCCCTCACCCGCTCACTCACACTCACAAACACTCTCTCTGAAACACAAACTCTTAACACACTCATCCGCCCCAACACGCACACACACACACACCCTCTTGAACTTACACGCATGCAGACACTCTGAAACACACACACACGCTCTCTCTCTCACTCTCACGCGCACTCACACACCCACACATAAACCCCCCCCCATTCTCCCCCCACCCCCACCCGCCATGGTCCTCCACCACCAACAACACAAACGAATAAGAAAAGAGAAAGATGGGAGACAAGACGTCTTAAAAGCAGCTATGAATCGTAATCATCCTCCTCGTCCTCACCTGCCCCCCTGGCCATGGGCTCGGGGACTGGTGTGTTGACTGGCATTGCGGGCAGCGAGGAGACGGGCACAGCCATGGCTGGCAGGGGCACTGTCAAGCGCAGGCACGCCTCTTCCGAGGAGCTGCGGAGAAGACAAAAAAAAAAATATTGTTTCAAACGTAACGATGGTAATTTGGTCACTCGACCCACGACCGTTTGCGGGGACACTGCGATCGGCTGCCGTGTTTCGTCCGCAGTCACTACACTTTACAGCGTATCCTGCGAAGCGCTTTGAGACGTCTCGACTCCAACAACAGTAAATGACACTGGGAGGACATCCCAAGGCGCTGGACAGTCAGGGTTTATTTTTGGGGTGGGGGGAGCCCGAGCTGGGGGTTGGGGGTAGAGGGCAGGGAGGGTTGGAGTAGGAGGGTGACCGGTTGGTCGAGGAGAGGGGGGACCTTGAGAGGGGCCTTGAAGGAGGCGAGGGAGGGAGGGAGGGAGAGGGTGAGGCGGAGGGACTGTGGGATGGAGTTCCAGAGGCGCTGTGTCAACTGCAGAGATGATGATGACGACGACGATGATGAAGACTGACCTCTGAATGTGATCTGTTGGTTTGTCCACACTCGATCGAGATCCATCCTCTTCCTCAGTCTCACTGTCTTCAGAGTCCTCCTGTAGAGAAGAGGTGAGTCTCCCACTGGGTCAACTAAAACTCACTCACTCTCTACCCAACTCTCTCTCCCCTGACCGGTGTGGAGTGCTTGAGTGACTTTGCCATGGCTAATGGCAGTGTGTGCGAGGGTTTGTATGTTCACACACACACGTATGCAGACACACATGTGCTCACACCCGGACATATGCACGCGTTCACCCATAGAAACACACTTGAGAAGCGCACACACACTATCACACTCATCCACTCACACACACGCACAGACATCCACACGGACAGACATACACACACAACCCTCTCACACATGCAACCACACACTCACCCCCCCCACCCCACACACACCCTCAGAGCTGTCTCCCTGTAAACCCACTCACCTCCTGCTCAGACTCCGTGCTCGACTGCTTCTTGTCCTTGGCTTTGCCGCTCACTCCCCCGTTTGTCCTGCGCCCGGACCCGGGTTTACGCCCCCTGCGGACGGCAAACATACAGCGTGAAGTCACCCAGCACCACAGAGAGGCTGACACACACACACTCACATCTACGCACACACACACTCACTCAAACACATATTCAAATTCGCACACACACACTCTCTCACTCACACACACACACTCTCAAGGTTTGAGGGGAGGGAGGGGGGTCTTGGGAGGGAGGGAGGGAGGAGGGGTTTTAGGGGAGGGGTGTCTCACCGCCGGGGAAGCTTGTCATTGTCTGTGTGATTCTCCTCCACGTCGGCCTGCATGTCGGGTACCGCAGCCACCAGGTCCTTCAGGAAATCAAACTGTTGCTCCAGCTCGATACACTGCTTCCTGTCTCACACACACACACACACAGCGTTACTATTTATACACACACACACTAAGCACAAACACACACACACACAGGGTTAGTGTATATATATATACACACACAAACAGCATTACTGTTTATACACACACAGAGGGTTAGTATATATATATATACACACACACACACACACAGTGTTACTCTCTGTCACTATCTGTCTCTCTCATATCACTGCTTCCTTACAACACACACACACACAGTGTGTTACTCTCGGTCACTGTCTTCCCTCAGTCTCTCCCACTCTCTCTCTCTCACTCTGTGTCTCAAAAGGGAATTGGATATATACTTGAAAAGGAACTATGGGGTAATTAGCAGGGGAGCGAGTGGGATTAGTTGGGGTTAAGAGTGGGTGAGTGGCACGAGTTGCTCTTTCAAAGAGCCGGTGGGCCGAATGGCCTTCTTCTGTGATAAAAGGCACCCAGCGCAGGGATTTGAACCCACAACTTTCTGACTCGGGAGGCGAGAGCGCGAGCAAGTTAAGTGAGTTGGAACAGGAAGCGAAACGGGGTGACTGAGAGGAGTAACAACAGCAACGTGCATTTACAAGGTCTTCAGGCGTGGCCTGAAGATGGGGAAGAAGGGGGCAAGGCGGAGGGAGGGAATGAGGAAGACTGTTCCAGAATTTCGGGGCGCAGTGGCTGAAACAACAACAACAACAACAACAAGATTCCATTTATAGAGCGCCTTTCACGTCAGGAGGACGTCCCAAGGCGCTGCACAGTTGGGTCATGACCCGAGCAGGGGGGAAATGGTCAGGGTGAGGGGAGGGAAGGGAGGGAGAGAGGAGGGGGGAAATGGTCAGGGTGAGGGGAGGGAAGGGAGGGAGCGAGGAGGGAGAAGAGAGTCGAGAGGGGAGCTGAAGGCACGGTCAAAGAGAAAGGTTTTGAGACCGGCCTTGAAGGAGGAAAGGGAGGAAGCAAGGCGAAGGCACTGGGGGATGGAGTTCCAGAGCCTCGGGGCTGAGAGGCTGAAGGCCCGACCACCGATAGTAGGGCGGTTGGGGCGGGGGACGTGGAGCAGACCGGAGCCAGAGGAACGGAGGTTACGGGCAGGTAGGTAGGGGGATAGTAGGTTGGAGAGGTAGGAGGGAGCAAGGCCGTGAATGGCCTTGTAGGTGAGGATGAGGATCTTGAAATCAATCCTCTGGGGGATGGGGAGCCAGTGGAGGCGAGCGAGGGTGGGAGTGATGTGGTCCCGAAGCCTGGTGCGGGACAGTACACGAGCTGCAGAGTTCTGAATGACCTGCAGCTTGTGGAAGGAGGTGCCGGGAAGGCCGGCGAGGAGAGAGTTCCCATAGTCCAGCCTTGAGGTGACAAAGGCGTGAACCAGGGTTTCAGCAGCGTGAGGGGTGAGGTAGTGCCGTAATCTGGCGATATTCCGGAGGTGATGGAAGGCGGTGCCAGTTGTGGTGCGGATGTGAGGGAGAAAGGACAGCTCAGGGTCGAACAAAACGCCGAGGTTCCTGACTGGCTTTGAGAGGTGGAGAGTGCAGCCTTGGATGCTGATGGTGTCAGCGCCTGAGGTGCGGAGGCGCTGACGTGAGCCAATCAGGAGGGCCTCGGTTTTTCGCACGTTGAGCTGAAGAAAGTTGTCTCTCGTCCAGGACTCGATGTCGGACAGGCAGCTGTCAGGACATCGGTGGTCGTGGAGTTGAGAGTAGAGGAGGAAAGGTAGAGTTGGGTGTCATCCGCATACATGTGGAAGTTAACCCCATGTTTGCGGATGATGTCACCAAGGATGATGTCACCCTGAAAGCGAGGCGAGG